TAAGATATCTTTATATCCTCCACCACCATCAGTGGTGATAGAGGGTATATATAACTTTGTCCCAACAAAGTATATATATTCTTGATCCTTATGAAATTCTGAGTCGTCTGTCCGTCGGTCTGTCTGTTTGTCTGTGTAAAACACGCGCACGTTAAAATTAAGCACGAAAATTCACCCAACACGTTCTTTATTATCCGGTACAGTTTGGTATTGAAAATCAGTAAAATCGGTTCACGATGTAAAAAGTTATGAGTAAAAATTTCAGACTACATCGAAAAAAATAACGTTCTTTTTCCCAATTCTGAAGTAGTTTTCTCAGAAACTACCACAGATATTTCGATGAATTTTGTCGCACATTACTTTTTTGTGCCAGGGATCAAGTGTGTTCAATTGATCCAATATTTCCCATAGCCCCCATACAAAGGTGTATACTCCCGGAAATTAGTTTATCGTTAATAACTCCCTCAAAAATATCGGTATCAACACAAAATTTTGTACATAAAACTATAATATGAATAGAAATCATACTAGCTCCCATATAAGGCCCTCTTCCGAAAATCATTTAAACTCAAATATTCCATTGTCAAATAAAGCTATCTTGATAAAATTCGACACAAATAAGTTTTGTGTACATACATATGAATCACTCTACGAAATTTTTCTGGAGAGGACCGTAATTGGTCATAGCTCCTATATAAGGTCCACTTTCATTAATAATTCATTAATAAATCTATTGGAGTAATATTCGACTTGAATTTTTTGTTTGCATATACATCATTATACGAAATTTTTTCTTGATAGGTCCATAATTGGTCACAACTCCCATATAAAGATCATTTCCGAAAATTACTTAAACGCACATTGACAATCAAAGTCACCGGGATCAAATTCGACATAAATGTGTATTTTGTATATATAAATCGTTATACGGAATTTTACTTCTGAAAATCACTTAATACCACTTAATTCATTACTAAATGATTATATCCAGATAAAATTCGACATGAGTATGTTTTGTATAGATAAATCATTATATTAAAATGTTTGCAACTGGCCTTTTAATATAAAATTTTATGAACCTAATCGAAATTAGTTCCACATATGCATAAATATTAGTACCCTCACTACGGAAACAAAAATTTTGAGAAGTTATGTAAAAATTAGATAGTTAAATGGGTTTTAATAAAAAGTAGCTTGCTGGTGAAGGATATTTAAGATTCGGCATAGCCGAATCGAGATTGCTTTTATTCCTATATAAAACTTAATTGTGCCAATTTTTGGAGATATAGTAGTATATTTGACGTAGTTTCGAGTTAAAAATCCCAAATCGGAAGTTCTGGTTGTATGGGGACTAGGATAAATAAGTACTTTGCATCTGTGCTGATGTTTGTAACGCATAAAAATATTGGACCTACACCCACTTTAAAGTATACCGATCTAACTGGATGAACTACATCCAAGGAACAGATGGATAAGCTGCGATATGTACGATATAACTATCAGGAAAAAGGTATTTCGCGGTATACTACTGGGTGGCATTTTGTCACTTTTACTCTGGGTTATCACGATTAATAGCCTCCTAAGGACCCTAACTGATAAAGGACTTAAAACTGCTATGCAGATGATGTCGTAATACTTTTAAATGGAAAGGATCCAAATAACTTATGTAAAAGAGCTGTGGAGGCTCTGAATACGGCCTTGAGCTGGGCTCAACCGAGAGGCCTCAATGTTAAAATCTGTCTTTTCACAAGAAAGATAAAAATTTCTACGTATACTGAACCCTGCTTCCTAGGCATGAAGATACCAGTGACAAAGTTCAAAGTCCATTAATTCAACTACCCCCACCACCTACCGGTTTGGGGTTTTTAACTCATAACTATGTCAAATATACTACTATCTCACCAAAAATGTATAGAGGCATAAACGACTATGCCAATTTTTATAATGATCGGCCGCCCCCATACAACCCCCCTTTAAAAAATATCTTAAACGTCCAAAAATTGACTTGTAACCATTAGTGATGAAATTCTGCATAACTAACATCCCTCTTCCCAATTTGTTGAGTATCTGCCCATATTTAAACCTAACTCCCATAAAAAGCTTCTTTTAAAAATTTTGTTTTTCATCAATAAATTGCTTTAATACATCGGAATTAAGGTAAAATTCAACATAATATTTTTTTTATGAAAAATAAATAATTTTTAAAATATACCCATGATGTAGGGTACAATATAGTCGGCCATGCCCGACTATACTTTCATACTTGTTAGTTATTTAAATCATACTGAAATTACCGCTAAAATATATTTTTTGTACACTACCGATAACGCTAAAATATCAATACCGAAATAAACCAAAATACCGATAACGCTAAAATATCAATACCTAAATTAGTCAAAATACCGATAACGCTAAAATACCTATACCGAAATAAGCCAAAATACCGATAACGCTAAAATACCAATACCTAAATAACTCAAAATGCCGATACCGCTACCTTATCACCGTTTCGAAACGGTTGCCAACCTTGTTAAAATTTACTTAATTTTTAACAAAATAATTCAGCTGAATTGTAAAAATCATTAGCTGAATTAAGATTGCTTAAACTTTTTTAAGTTATTTATCTTTTAGCAACAAAAATACTTAGCTGAATTGTGGAAAATAGCAGCTGAATTGGAAAATTTTACATAAAATAGCTATGTCATTCAAATTTCTATTAAATCACTTAGCTGAATTGTGAAAACCAACAGCTGAATTTGTTATTTTTTAATAAAATTTAAAATTTACTTAATTTTTACCAAAATAACTCAGCTGAATTGCGAAAATCATTTGCTGAATTAAGGTTTATAAAACTTTATCATACTTTTTACCTCTGAGCCTTTAAACAACTTAGCTGAATTGTGGAAAACAACAGCTGAATTGAAAATTTTGATAAAAAATTGCTATTTTATTAAAATTTCTATTAAATTACTTAGCTGAATTGTAAAAGCCAACAGCTTAATATGTTATTTTTTAATAAATTTAAAAATTTACTTAATTTTTAACAAAATAACGCAGCTGAATTGCGAAAATCATTAGCTGAATTAGGTTTTCTTAAACTTATTTAACATATTTATCCTTTAGCAAGAAAAATAATTAGCTGAATCGTGGAAAATAGCTGCTGAATTGAAAATTTTGATAAAAAATGGCTATTTTATTAAAATTTCTATTAAATTAATTGTGAAAAACAACATCTGAATTGTACAAAACTGTTACTGAATTGAAAATTTTGTTATTTTCCATAAAATTTACTCAGCTGAATTTCAAAATTGATTAGCTAAAGTGTGGTTTCAGAAGCTTATTTAAGAAATTTATCTTTGGCAGTAAAAATTAAACAGCTGAATTACATAAAACAGTAGCTGAATTTGTTTTATTTTTTTTGTAATAATATCCATAATTCATGAAATTAGCTATTAATTTCCTCAGCTGAATTGCCTATTAAGCTAGCTGAATTGTAAAAAACAAAACCGAATTTGTTTTACTGACGTAGAATTTTAATTTATGATAGTTTTTCTTAAATTTTACTCAGCTGAATTTACAAATTATAATAGATTACTTTGTAATTTATAAGTTTATGTAAAAAATTTCCCTTAAGAGGCAAAAATACTTAGTTGAATAGCAAAAATCAACAGCTGAATTTGTTATTTTGTAATAATATGTGTATTTCAAGAAATTTTATTTGTAATTTACTCAGCTGAATTGCCAATTAAGCTAGCTGAATTGTAAAAATATTAGCTGAATTTGTTATTTTATAATAATATCCATAATTCATGAAATTAGCTATTAATTTACTCAGCTGAATTGCGTATTAAGCCAGCTGAATTGTAAAAAAAATAACACAATTTGTATTACAGATGTAAAATTTTAATTTATATTAATTTTTCTTAAATTTTACTCGGCTGAATTTACAAATTATAATAGATTACTTTGTAATTTAAAAGTTTATGTAAAAAATGTCCCTTTAGAGGCAAAAATACTTAGCTGAATTGGGAAAATTAACAGCTGAATTTGTTATTTTGTAATAATATGTGTATTTCAAGAAATTTTATTTGGAACTTACTCAGCTGAATTGCCAATTAAGCCAACTGAATTTTAAAAATATTAGCTGAATTTGTTATTTCCGAAATGTAATAGCTATTTAATTAAAATTCTCTAAAAATAACTGAGTTAGCTATTCTATATTCCATTTCTACAAAATTTAGTTTGCTTAAAACTAAAACTAGCGCTTTTTTCCACCACTTTAGCCACACTGTTTTGCACATTATTTGTTTATTGTTATTTATGTTTGCAACAATGTTTGTTTGCAGTCTTGATGATAAAATTCAAATGATAAGAATACAAAAAAGTAATACAGATAACTGTGATATTTTAATGAAAACAACAACAACAACAATCAGCAACAACAATACCACACAATAAAAGGAAAAACAATAATAATAAACCAATAAAAAGTTGTACAACAATATAGAAGAGAAATACCAATACAAATCAAGATTTCTAATCCTTCGTTACACATACAAATAAATAGAAGACACCTTCAAACACACAGATACACTGTTACACAAACAATAAGAAAAATAGCTCTACATTATCAAATGATAAAGAGAAAAAAAGTTAACCAAACAAAAAACATTTCGCGGTTTCTCTACAAACACAAATAATAGAAATGATACCAACCATTTTTATAAGTAAAACCAAGTCATCCTTTTTGAACACACATACACACTACTTACTACTACTATGAGCAGTATGTAAGAATGGGCGACTAAAACTCTACACTTGAATGTAAAATATAGAAAAAAGGGTGTTCGATTACACCAACAACAATATTAAACCCACAACTTTTTTTTGTTGTTTTTGGTTTTTATTAACAACAACTATAAAGTGGTGGTTTGTTGGTATATGAGCGAAAACATAGAGGAGCTGGCTGAGCCGAACAGCAGTGCTCTAATAAAAACTTCACAGTCAGTTTGTTACACATTCCGGGGACACAACCACAAAAATCATTTCGTGTTTTTCACTTGAAAGTTTCGCATGACACAACGCGTTAACGGACATTTATGGAAATTTTAGCGGATTTTTTTTTCGCAGGAAGTATAAAAAAACAAATAATAAAAATTAATAAAAAATATAAAACTTAAAAAAAAAAAAAATAATCTATGGTTAAAAGAAAAATTTTTAAATATTTAAAAATAAACAAATTTTAAATTTAACGGTTATTTAAGATAAAAAATTAAACTAAACATTTGTGCAATTAAACAAATTTTTTTATAAAAAAATAAAATATTTTATAAAAAAGTGTAAATAAATAATTTATAATAAAACAAGAGCTTTTCTTATAATAATTAAAAATAAGTTTTTAAACAATATAATACCTTCTTCAATGGACTACCTATTCAATATTAAGTTGTCGTAAATAATTCCTAAAACTAAAAACCCTTCCCGGATAAGAATAGGTAAGAAATACGCTTAAAAAGTTTTAAAAAATTCTTTGTTTAAAATTAGAAATTATTTAAATTATGGAAAAATGTTTAAATAATATTATAACTAGAATTCAATTACATGGATCCAAACCCTTTTTTTCTATAACTAGAATTCAATTACATGGATCCAAACCCTTTTTTTCTATAAAACAGATCGAACTTCCCGACGGCATTTGAACTAAAGTTTTAACTTCCATCTTAACAAAAGACCTTCGATCTTAAGCAAATAATGAATTTTTATCTTAAACCCTGAGGGTTTATGAATAACCTTGGACTATGGGTCCAATTTGACTTAAAGCCCCGAGAAATTTGACTTAAAGCCCCGAGAGTTAATTTCTAGTTAAACAAGATGTGTTACATCAGATTCAATGGAATACACCTAGCCGGCCCGTTAAGCATTCCTTTACTAGAGTCTCTGGAGGGAATGCATCTCCCAACCACCTTTCTGATAGACTACAACACTATTTACAGAGGCACCAGGGGTTAATTTCTTCTAGCTCAAGCTAAGTTAATTGTGATTGATTAAAATTGGATTGAAGTTTCCAAACTTCCCAAGAGGTTTTCGTTTTTAAAGTAGTACTTTATCAAATCGAATATTTTAAATCCCTGGGGACCTAATAACAACATCTCTAGGCAAATATTGAGTCTCAAAGAAGAAAACTGGAACTGATATCTGCTCTATCTATATTATCAAATATCTCAAATTTTTTGAACTACATAATAGTTTAATTCAACCTAATGAATTTCAAATTCGTTCTGATAGTTATCGGATATCTCAATTCTACTAAAATCAAGGTCTATATTATATTTAAACCATTTTTAGTTAAAATCCCAATGTTTTATAGAAAAATGTATCGTCGTTTTTGATTTAGAGTTTAAAGGACTCGTTTTTTAACAATATCGTTCATGAATGAAATTGCTCTTAAAGTTCTTTAGAAAATATCATGTTAAGCATAAAGCTACGTCTTCTAACAGTATTATCAACAGTTTGTCTTCATAACAGAGTTTTCTGAAAAGTGTCTTCCTGCGAAAGTTTTCTTAAAGAAAAGTAGTTTTCTTATAGAGAAGTATCCTCCTCAGATATCTTACAAATCATAGTTTTCCAATAGAAAAATTACTTTCAAAGATAGTTTAACTTATAGAAAAGTGTTTTCTTAAAACTGTTTTCCTATCGAAACGGGTCTTCTAAACACAGTTTTCCTAAATGAACGTTTCTTCTGGTGTTCTAATAGAAAAGTATATTTTAAACACAGTTTTGTTATGGAAAAGTTTCCTCTTAACACTGTTTTCTTATAGAAATGCCTTCTAAAGACAGTTTTCTTATAGAAAGTTGTATTCTAAGGACAGTTTTCCTATCGAAATGGGTCTTCTGGTTACAGTTTTCTAATAGAAGAGTATCTTCTAAACACAGTTTTCTAATTATCTTCTTAGGACATTTTTCTTACAGAAAAGTGTCTTCAAAAGACAGTTTTCTTATAGAAAAGTGCCTTCTAAAGACAGTTTTCTAATAGAAAAGTGTATTCTAAAGACAGTTTTCTTATAAAAAAGATAGTTTTCTTATAGAAAAGGTTCTTCTAAAGATAGTTTTCTTATAGAATAGTTCTTCTAAAGACAGTTTTCTTATAGAAAAGTGTCTTCTTAGGACATGTTTCTTATAGAAAAGTGTCTTCTAAACACAATTTTCTTATAAAAAGGTTCTTCTAAAGACAGTTTTCTTATAGAAAAGTGTCTTCTAAAGGCAGTTTTTTATAGAAAAGTGTCTCTAATGACAGTTTTCTTATAGAGAAGGGTCTTCTAAAGACAGTTTTCTTATAGAAAAGATTCTTCTAAAGGCAGTTTTCTTATAGAAAATTGTCTTCTTAGGACAGTTTCTTATAGAAAAGACAGTTTTCTTATAGAAAAGGTTCTTCTAAAGACAGTTTTCTAATAGAAAAGTGTATTCTAAAGACAGTTTTCTTATAGAAAAGTTTCTTCTAAAGATAGTTTTCTTATAGAATAGGTTTTTCTAAAGACAGTTTCCTTATAGAAAAGTATGTCCTAAAGGTTGTTTTCTTACAAAAAATGTTCTTCTAAAGACAATTTTCTTATAGAAAAGGCAGTTTTTTATAGAAAAGTGTCTCTAATGACAGTTTTCTTATAGAAAAGTATCTTCTAAAGACAGTTTTCTTATAGATAAGGGTCTTCTAAAGACAGTTTTCTTATAGTTTTTTTATTAAGAAGAGTCTTCTGAAGACAGTTTTCTTATAGAAAAGGTGCTTCTAAATATAATTTTCTTGTAAAAAAAGTGTCTTTAAAAGAGAGTTTTCTTATAGAAAAGTCTTTTCTTAAGTAATTTTTCCTATAGAAAATTGCCTTCTTAAAACAGTTTCGAAGAGAATGGTGTTTTCTAAAGACAAAATTGTCTTCTAGGACAATTTTCTTATAGAAAAGTGTCTTGAAAAGTCAGTTTTTCTTATAAGAAAGTGTCTTATTAAAACAGTTTCTAAAAGAAAAGTGTCAGTTTTCGATAGAAAAGGGTCTTCAAAATTCAGTTTTCTTATAAAAATTCTCTTATGAAGTCAGTTTTCATACAGTAATGTCTTCTTAGAACAGTTTTCCTGTAAAGAAGTGTATTTCGGAGACAGTTTTCTTATTAAAAGGTATTGTTTGAAAACAGTTTTCTTATTGAAACGTGTTTTCCGTTGACAGTTTTCTAATAGAAAAGTATTTTTCGAAGAGAGTTTCTTATAGAAAAATGTCTTCCGTTTTCTTTAGAGCAGCGAAAGTATTCTTTAAACGATCGTAAAGTAATAAAACATTATTCACTTACCTGCAGCAAATGAGTTTGAGACAGGAGTTTGTCAGGAGATTTTCACTCAAAGATTAAACTGCAGTTATCTGTAAAGAAAACAAATAATAAATTAAAATATATAACATGAAGCAGAATGACAGCAACTCAAGAAATATCCTAAAAAATCCTTTTTATTAATATTTTTAGTTACAACATCATCATATGACTACTAATTCAACAAACAACAAAATCTGTATTTAAAGAAATTTACCACAATTTCACTTTAAATTCCTTTATAATGTCAACATTTTGTGCAATTTTACATCAACATCAACAGGAGCAATTGCGTCAAAGTATTTCGCCACAACTGGCCGGATCAATTGTTAATATGACGACCAGCAGTAGTTCATCACATCAGAAACAATCAAGCTCTTCGCCAATACTTAGCAGTAGTGGTAGTAGTAACAACAATTACACTAACCTAACAATGTCACCCAATAATTCAAGTGATCCAACAACAAATATTTTACAACATACACTACATCTAAACAATGGACACATCAGTAGTAGTAGCAGCAACAACAACAACAATAACACATGTGGCAGTAACAACAACAGCAGCAACAATCATAATAATACCAGCATTCATCATAACGACCATATTAAAAGACCTATGAATGCCTTTATGGTTTGGTCCAGAGGACAACGACGCAAAATGGCACAAGATAATCCAAAAATGCACAATTCTGAGATATCAAAACGTTTGGGTGCTGAATGGAAACTTCTAACCGAAGGACAAAAGCGACCATTCATTGATGAGGCCAAACGTTTGAGGTGAGTTTGAGTGAGAGTGTGTGTGTGTGAGAGAATTCAAAATGAATTTATAAAGTAGTTGTTAAGGGGGGAGGAAGAGAGGGGGCTAATACATATATGTATGTACAATGGTAAATAATCGCTTTTTTTGGAAAACAATGGGAATCTATTGTGTGATTTTAGAAATTTTTTCCTAGAAGAAAATATGAGAAATACTGTGAGAGATTTGAATAGGGACAGGAAGAGAATTTTTGTTGAAAATCTGATTTTTTGTGGAAAAATCGGCAAAACTCCATTTTATTAAAGAACCAAGACAAACAGGTTTATTTAAGTTGATCTTGTTAAAGAACCATGATCGTTACAAAACTTCCATTTGGTTCATTTCCTACTTTATTCAAATATCGCGGACTATAATATAACGCCGTAGTGAAGTGCTACGAAATTCTTTACATTGTAGATTTCTTTGTTTTTATACAAATACAACAATTACTTTTTCATATCTTTGGCAAACACACGTTAAATATGTGTTAGAGAAACACTCGTAATTTGTATTAGAAAACGCTTAGAAAAAAGTCTCCAACAAAATGTCCAGTTAAAATTCAAAACGGATAAAACAAATATAGAATCAAGAAAACAAAACTTTAGTTTTCACATGCATTAGCAAGACGCCAACTTTTTGTCAATTTCGCCTTAAACACTAATCAATTATCAAAAACTAAATAAATAAAATATTTTTGCTATTTTTTTTTTGTTTAATAAGTAAATAATAATTGTTTAAAATTAATTGTTTATTTTGTATTTTTTGGAAAATAAACATTGTTTTATTTACAAATGCTTAATTTAAACTGTCATAATCTCTTTTATTGATTATTACAACTTAAAATGTCTTAAAAAGAAAATTAATTGTTTAAAAGAAAAATAAAAATAAAATCCAATGTTTTATTAAACAAACAATGACAATAATAAATTTAATAAAAAACAATGTTATCCCCTCTCTTTGATTTCATAACTCGCGTAAGAAATCCCTTCTAAAACAAAAATTTCTTTAAGTGTATTATCTCTTTGGTCTGCTATACATTTGTCCAGCAGTATGTGTGTTTTAGTAAAGAAAAAGGTGTGTTTTATGATTTTCGCCTGGACAATGTTTACCAAACATATCTCTGACAAAAATATTTATACGTTTTTTTTTTCTCAGATAAGACGCGCTCAGGGGATCTAAAAACAAATTTAGATTGAAAGAATTCAATTGTCTCAATTGAACAATAAATGCTAAAGAAATTAATACTGTTTACAATTGATAACAAAATGTAAATAAATACGGAGACAGAGAGTTAAAGGAATGAAATGTTAAAAATATGAAAATAACAAGGGACTAAGGACTAGTCTATATTATAGTGTATGGTCTAGTCTATGAAATAAATAATAGTCTAGTCTATAGTATTATATGTAAATACTATAGTCTATAGCATAGTCTGTAGCCTATTCTATAGTCTAGTATATAGTCTAGTCAAGTCTAGCCTAGTCTATAGTGTAGTCTATAGTATAGTCTAGTCTATAGTCTAGTCTATAGTCAAGTCTAAAGTCTAGTCTAAAGTCTAGTCTATAGTCTAGTCTATAGTCAAGTCTAAAGTCTAGTCTAAAGTCTAGTCTATAGTCTAGTCTATAGTCTAGTCTATAGTCTAGTATATAGTCTAGTATATAGTCTAGTCTATAGTCTAGTCTATAGTCTAGTCTATAGTCTAGTCTATAGTCTAGTCTATAGTCTAGTCTATAGTCTAGTCTATAGTCTAGTCTATAGACTAGTCTATAGTCTAGTCTATAGTCTAGTCTATAGTCTAGTCTATAGTCTAGTCTATAGTCTAGTCTATAGTCTGGTCTATAGTCTAGTCTATAGTCTAGTCTATAGTCTAGTCTATAGTCTAGTCTATAGTCTAGTCTATAGTCTAGTCTATAGTCTAGTCTATAGTCTAGTCTATAGTCTAGTCTATAGTCTAGTCTATAGTCTAGTCTATAGTCTAGTCTATAGTCTAGTCTATAGTCTAGTCTATAGTCTAGTCTATAGTCTAGTCTATAGTCTAGTCTATAGTCTAGTCTATAGTCTAGTCTATAGTCTAGTCTATAGTCTAGTCTATAGTCTAGTCTATAGTCTAGTCTATAGTCTAGTCTATAGTCTAGTCTATAGTCTAGTCTATAGTCTAGTCTATAGTCTAGTCTATAGTCTAGTCTATAGTCTAGTCTATAGTCTAGTCTATAGTCTAGTCTATAGTCTAGTCTATAGTTTAGTTTATTGTCTAATCTTTAATCTAGTGTATAGTCTATTCTATTTTCTAGTCTTTAGTCTACAATTACTTTCAATTTGCGTGTCTATTTCTCCACTGCGAAACATATAAATTCTTTTACAAACTGTTCTCAAGCTAGAATCAAAATCATAAAATATTGTGTGTTATTGTACCACACAAACAAGCGGACACATGTTTTTTTTTATTAATTCTTATCACCATTTTAATTCAATTTATAAATCATAATTTACAATTAAATCATATAATTTATAAATCAAATGACTCACCTCATATACATCAGAAATTATTAACATTATTATCTCTACCTCTTTCTCTCTAATTACAGAGCCCTACACATGAAAGAACATCCCGACTATAAATATCGACCGAGACGAAAACCTAAAACTCTTAATAAATCACCAGTGCCGGCGGGACACAGCAATAACAACAACCACAATGGTCAAAACCCCAAAGACTCTCAAATAAATGGCAACAACTCAACACATCTAGGGCATAAACAACATCACTCGAATCAACATCAACAAACGCCAGCCAATTTAACCTCACAAAAATATAATTTTGGTTCTCCTCTGGAATTGACTTTAAATATGCCACAGCGTGTTACCAATGTATTTCCCGCCGCTTTATCACACTATCCTTTAGATCCCACCATAGCACTGGATCTACAGGCGCGACTACAGGCCATGTATGCTGGTAGTTTGTATCACCCCTGGCGTTATTTTGGCTGTACTCCTCTTATCAGTCCCGAAACACCTCCTTCACCGCCCAGCAGCAATAGTACGGGTATTTCATCTTATGGTTGCATAAAATCTGCCAAATCCTCACCAACTTTAGCGTTGCCCGCCCAGGCACCACCCAATATTATTTGACCAACTCCTTTACGTTACGGAGCCGTTGAACCCGCCGTCTGAGAAAACTCCTTACAAAGGATTAAGTTTTAATTACAATTTTTAAGAAGCTCCAGCTAAATCCGTCGTCGTCAAGTTTTAATTGCACAAACTAAAAATTCCAATAGCTAAAAAATTAAGCTTCTTTCGGTACCACAAAAATAGATGAATTTTTGCCCCAGGAGTATACAAAATTCTACGCGATATGTACTATATGGAACTTAAATAAATTTTGAAGGAAACTAAGTATATAAATGCGCTTAAATGCATAGATTGGTATATTTTTTTGTGATAATGTCCAGTAAATAAATTTGAAAAAAAAGTATTAAAAAAATTATATGAAATGTGTTTGATTTTTTTTTTTTGCAAAAGAATATTATCAGGTGTAGACAGTAGTGAAGACTATAGAACAGGCTCAAGTATCTAGTCTCTAGTTTAGTCTGTAGTTTAGCTTTAATTATGTGCTCTAGTCTCTAATATAGTCTAAAGTATAGTTTTTAGACTGATCTATAGTCTGACCCATAGTATAGATTATAGTCTGAATCACAGTATAGTCTATTGTATAGTCTAGTCTATAGACCAGTCTATAGACTATAGTCTATAGTCTTGTTTAAAATCTGGGTAAATGTCCAGTTTATAGTCTAGTTTATAGTTTAGTCTATAGTCTAGTCTATAGTCTAGTCTAGTCTATAGTCTAGTCTATAGTCTATCTAGTCTAGTCTATAGTCTAGTCTATAGTCTAGTCTATAGTCTAGTCTATGGTCTAGTCTATAGTCTAGTCTATAGTCTAGTCTATAGTCTAGTCTATAGTCTAGTCTATAGTCTAGTCTATAGTCTAGTCTATAGTCTAGTCTATAGTCTAGTCTATAGTCTAGTCTATAGTCTAGTCTATAGTCTAGTCTATAGTCTAGTCTATAGTCTAGTCTATAGTCTAGTCTATAGTCTAGTCTATAGTCTAGTCTATAGTCTAGTCTATAGTCTAGTCTATAGTCTAGTCTATAGTCTAGTCTATAGTCTAGTCTATAGTCTAGTCTATAGTCTAGTCTATAGTCTAGTCTATAGTCTAGTCTATAGTCTAGTCTATAGTCTAGTCTATAGTCTAGTCTATAGTCTAGTCTATAGTCTAGTCTATAGTCTAGTCTATAGTCTAGTCTATAGTCTAGTCTATAGTCTAGTCTATAGTCTAGTCTATAGTCTAGTCTATAGTCTAGTCTATAGTCTAGTCTATAGTCTAGTCTATAGTCTAGTCTATAGTCTAGTCTATAGTCTAGTCTATAGTCTAGTCTATAGTCTAGTCTATAGTCTAGTCTATAGTCTAGTCTATAGTCTAGTCTATAGTCTAGTCTATAGTCTAGTCTATAGTCTAGTCTATAGTCTAGTCTATAGTCTAGTCTATAGTCTAGTCTATAGTCTAGTCTATAGTCTAGTCTATAGTCTAGTCTATAGTCTAGTCTATAGACTAGACTATAGTCTAGTCTATAGTCTAGTCTATAGTCTAGTCTATAGTCTAGTCTATAGTCTAGTCTATAGTCATAGTCTATAGTCTAGTCTATAGTCTAGTCTATAGTCTAGTCTATAGTCTAGTCTATAGTCTAGTCTATAGTCTAGTCTATAGTCTAGTCTATAGTCTAGTCTATAGTCTAGTCTATAGTCTAGTCTATAGTCTAGTCTATAGTCTAGTCTATAGTCTAGTCTATAGTCTAGTCTATAGTCTAGTCTATAGTCTAGTCTATAGTCTAGTCTATAGTCTAGTCTATAGTCTAGTCTATAGTCTAGTCTATAGTCTAGTCTATAGTCTAGTCTATAGTCTAGTCTATAGTCTAGTCTATAGTCTAGTCTATAGTCTAGTCTATAGTCTAGTCTATAGTCTAGTCTATAGTCTAGTCTATAGTCTAGTCTATAGTCTAGTCTATAGTCTAGTCTATAGTCTAGTCTATAGTCTAGTCTATAGTCTAGTCTATAGTCTAGTCTATAGTCTAGTCTATAGTCTAGTCTATAGTCTAGTCTATGTCTAGTCATAGTCTATCTATAGTCTAGTCTATAGTCTAGTCTATCAGTCTAGTCTAGAGTCTAGTCTATAGTCTAGTCTATAGTCTAGTCCTATGTCTAGTCCTAGTCTAGTCTATAGTCTAGTCTATGAGTCTAGTCTATAGTCCTAGTCCTATAGTCTAGTCTATAGTCTAGTCTATAGTCTAAGTCCATAAGTCTAGTCGATAAGTCCTAGTCCTATAGTCTAGTCTAGTCTATAGTCTCGTCTATAGTCTAGTCTATAGTCCGAGTCTATAGTCTAGTCCTATAGTCTAGTCTATAGTCTAGTCTATAGTCTAGTTATAGTCTAGTCTATAGTCCTAGTCTATAGTCTAGTCTATAGTCTAGTCTATAGTCTAGTCTATAGTCTAGTCTATAGTCTAGTCTATAGTCTAGTCTATAGTCTAGTCTATAGTCTAGTCTATAGTCTAGTCTATAGTCTAGTCTATAGTCTAGTCTATAGTCTAGTCTATAGTCTAGTCTATAGCTAGTCTATAGTCTAGTCTATAGTCTAGTCTATGTCTAGTCTATATCTAGTCTATAGTCTAGTCTATAGTCTAGTCTATAGTCTGTCTATAGTCTAGTCCTATAGTCTAGTCTATAGTCCTAGTCTATAGTCTAGTCTATAGTCTAGTCTATAGTCTAGTCTATAGTCTAGTCTATAGTCTAGTCTATAGTCTAGTCTATAGTCTAGTCTATAGTCTAGTCTATAGTCTAGTCTATAGTCTAGTCTATAGTCTAGTCTATAGTCTAGTCTATAGTCTAGTCTAGTCTAGTCTATAGTCTAGTCTATAGTCTAGTCTATAGTCTAGTCTATAGTCTAGTCTATAGTCTAGTCTATAGTCTAGTCTATAGTCTAGTCTATAGTCTAGTCTATAGTCTAGTCTATAGTCTAGTCTATAGTCTAGTCTATAGTCTAGTCTATAGTCTAGTCTATAGTCAGTCTATAGTCAAGTCTATAGTCTAGTCTATAGTCTAGTCTATAGTCTAGTCTAGTCTATAGTCTAGTCTATAGTCTAGTCTATAGTCTAGTCTATAGTCTAGTCTATAGTCTAGTCTATAGTCTAGTCTATAGTCTAGTCTATAGTCTAGTCTATAGTCTAGTCTATAGTCATAGTCTCATATAGTCTAGTCTATAGTCTAGTTTCTATTCGTCTAGTCATAGTCTAGTCTATAGTCTAGGTCTATAGTCTAGTCTTAGTCTAGTCTAGTTAGTCATAGTCTAGTCTATAGTCTAGTCTATAGTCTAGTCTATAGTCTAGTCTATGACGTACTAGTCTATAGTCTAGTCTATCGTCTAGTCTATAGTCTAGTCTAAGTAGTCATAGTCTAGTCTATAGTACAAGTCCTATAGTCTAAGTCTATAGTCTAGTCTATAGTCTAGTCTATAGTATAGTATATAGTTCTAGGTCTATAGGTCTAGTCTATAGTCTAGCTCTATAGTCTAGTCTATAGTCTAGTCTATCGTCTAGTCTATAGGTCTAGTCTATAGTCTAGTCTATAGTCTTAGTCTATAGTTCTAGGTCTATAGTCTAGTCTATAGTCTAGTCTATAGTCTCGTAGTCTATAGTCTAGTCTGTCTAAGTCTCGTTCCTATTCGTCTAGTCTATAGTCTCGTCTATAGTCTAGTCTATAGTCTAGTCTATAGTCTAAGTCTATAGTCTAGTCTATAGTCTAGTCTATTAGTCTAGTCTATAGTCTAGTCTTATAGTCTAGTCTATAGTCTAGTCTATAGTCTAGTCTAGTCTAGTCTATAGTCTAGTCTATAGTCTAGTCTATTATTTAACCTTGATTTCTTAAAAAATGTTATAAACCATCCTCATCACTTACATTTCCAACCAACATTGTCAAAGTTGGGGGGTTGGAGGAATAAGAAGAACTTAAGTTAACTGTCAGATTGTTGTTTTATAAAGAACACAAAGTGAAAATAGAATCATTATGTTTCTTGATGCGTTCATTATTCGTTTAAATTGCAATAGAAAATCTCAGTATTCAACAGTGAAAGCGTTAAACAAACGACTGAGACAAATTATTTATCTCAAATATGTAATAAAAAAAATCATCCCCTTTGCAAACCATATTAATAGAGGCCTTAATAAGGGGAGGCAAAATATTGTAATTTTTCATAAAACAAATACTCAGGCGTTTATGCGTATTAAATTCAATTTAAACACCCACTTGTGTACGCACTCAGCTGTGGGATTACAATCTATGAATTACAATGGTTTGAGAGATTATCACAATGAATAGGAATCAGTCATTCTCTCTCCCCCCACCGATAAGTAAATAAAATAAATGAAATGTATTTAAGTCATCAGAAGTATTAGCAGTAACTACAAATTGCAAATAAGTTATTAAAAAATATTTAGTTTTTAAGCTTTTAAAAGAAATTAAAAATCTTTTTCATTCAGCAAACATAACAATAAACCCTTTAAATGTTTAAATAGCTATTTTTGCTAGAAAAAAAGCAACTGTTTTTTCCTTTGTGTAAAAACAAATTTTCACTATTTGTACTTCTGTTACTTCTGTAGTCCATTTAAATGCCATAAAATTATATTGCAAAAGTATTTTGTACGCAAGTGAACAGCACCCGCCAGCAGCCACGAACAAAACTGCCAACAGCAAGAAAAAACAAAAAAAAAAAAAAAATAGACAAAAACTGATAAGAAGCATTCACAGTCATGCTAATAGTTCTTCTTTTTTTAATATTTTGTATTCATATTTGTTCTTGTACGCACTGTAACCTTTTCATTTTGCTGTTTTGTGTTCAATCACCTTCCCCCACAGCACAGTTTCCGTTTTTACAATCTTTCCCGTTTGGGTGTCTGTATCATGGTGCAAGGTCATTTTAAGTTTGATTGTGTTTTTTAGGGGAAAAACTAGAGTTTTCGGAAAAAGAGGAAAAAGTCTAGAATTTAGTACAGACTACAGTTTAAACTATAGTCCAGACTAGTCTATACTCCAGTTTTTAGTCGAATCTGTAGTCAGGCAACCATCTAGTCTGTTGTCCAGACTTTAGCCTAATGTATAGTCCAGACTATATTCTAGTCTATAGTCCAGACTGTATTCTAGTCTAAAGTCCAGACTATAGTCTAGTCTAGGCTATATATATACACTATAGCCTAGACTTTAGTCAAGAATACAGTCTAAAGTATAGTCCAGGCTATAATCTAGTCTACAGTCCGGACTATAGTACAGAATATAGTCTAGTCTATAGTACGGACTATAGTCCAGACTATTGTGTAGTCTATAGTCCAGATAATAGTCAATAGTCCAGACTATAG